AATTACCTATTGCACTCTGATCTTAACCTTACAGCCAACCCCTAAGCCAATAGAGTATTGGATCTCAGTTATATATTAACCATAAGGCTGTCGCAAGACATGAGACTTGAATTCCCACATCGAAAGTATGAGATTTCAATGTGTTGTTATACAGACTCAAAACTCTTTAATTTCAATGACTAACTTTTGAGGGGTGGACCCTCCCAAGATTTATAATAATAGTTTTAGGCACCACACATCTCCCTCTTATAATCGAGTAGTGCGATTGTGATGTCAATATAATGATTTTATCGTCATGGGCTAGTGAGTCAATTCACCGTGGTCAACGAGATCGCAAAGCGTGCTTGCCATAATTCCATTGCAACATATGGGACTTGAATCCAACATCGAAAATATGAAATTTCGATGTATAATTTATATATAAAATTTGACTCTTTAATTTCAAAAGCTAACTTCAAAATGGATCTCTTAAGATCTATAACGAAGTCCGTACGAGTCCTCTAATCCATATTTAGGGTACCACTCCATAGTCCTCGATCTTTCGCGTCAAGCAGTTCCAACCCCAAACCAAGATTGAAGAAAAACTCCTCAACGCAATAATTCAAACCAATGAGTAGAGGACAAGAAATCCAACCCCCGGCATCACCCACGTGCCACAATCCCCACAGTCATAACCACGCATTCGTCAAAAGAAAATAATAGGAATTTTTTTGCTATAAAATTACCGATCAAAAAATAATAATAATAATAGGAACAAAAAGGAAATTACCTCAAAATTCGATGATGAGACGGAGAAGCTGGACGTTGACGGAGATTCAAATACCCGTTACTCTTGGTGCTGGTAATAGCAGTAGCATTTTTATTAGTCAGATGGTTCGAATTAGAATCCGACCTAATCACCCGGCGGTCGACCCGGGCTGTTGTCCGATTAACCGGGACAGACCCGGCAGAGTCATTATTGATGTGGTCTTTGGCCTGGACCTTCATGCATCGTAGCCTTTTCCGATTCCCCCACTGCAAAAACAAGTCAGACGACGTCGTTACTGGTGACCTGGATGACTCGGATCTCATTAACAATCCTCCTTCTCTATTGGTGCTGGAATTATTCCTCTCCATCGCGCCTTTCTACACCTGTCATCATCATCAATGACGGAGTTAGCCCCTTAACTTAAATACTGCTTAAAATTTTAATTTTAACTGGCAAATTAAAATAAGTGGAAACAGGAACAGGAACAGGATTGAAATGGAAAAAAATATATGTATAGTTGGGGGTTATTCTGACTTCAGAATTAGAAATAAAACGAAATCACTTTATCATTTGATGATGATTGGAAGATTACATTTCTGAATTTAGAAAATAATTTCTGGCGCATTCACAGAAGTGAATTTTTGGTCAGGATCTGTGCCAAAATGGATAGCAGAATTGGAAAATAACCAAAAAAAAAAAAAAAGGTTGAGAATTCAGCTCAAGATTTTTTTTGGGAAAATCCGCATTACATGTCTTAATTTTCTGCAAAGAAAACGATTGAAGAAATATTTAGTAGCATAAAGAACTGCGTAGGAAATTTGAAAGAAGAAGATGATCGTAATTCTTTACAAATTGGGAAATTTTGGTGAGAAGAAGGTGCTGAAAATTTGGTTTTAAATTTAAAGGTGAAACACTGAAACTGAAATGCACTCCGGAAAATTCAAAGAGATGGGAAATTGGTAAATCTGGGTGAGAAGAGAGTGATTACATATTGACGAAATAATTCGAAGGCGAGAAACTCCAAAGAGATGAGGATGGAATTTTGGCCAGTCTTCAGACGTAAATCACCATTCATTACCTGAAAGACTCTTATCTCTCTCTCTCCCAATAGATTCAATTCTTCTTCTTGTTCCTAGAAAAGAAACTCCAATTCAATCCACAAAATCCGAACAATCGGTGTCCTTGGTTTTGAAAAAATCAATATGAAGAACACCAAAACAGAGTGAGTGGGTGAGAAAGCCTGAGAAATATCAGAGCCTGCTGAACTCCCAAAAAGTGCCCCCCTGATTCTGCAGTACAAAAACCAGAAGTTTCATGAAAAAAATTCAAATCAAACTTCACATATTGTGATATTTTCGGAAATGGCTGGCCTTCTTACCTTGTATAATCAAAACTTCGGTTCCAGAATTAACGATTATCCTTTCACAAACAAGCTTAAGAATGGCGAGTTTACAACAATTTCTGTTGATTCAAGTCCTTTTACTCATAAAGCTCCCGGCAGATGAGGATTTTCCGGTGAAATGACACCGAATCCGGGCTCCGACTTTCAGCTCTTGTATTAAATCAAGATCTTACGAGTCCTAAAACTGATTTCCAATCTCACAGTATACCTGTCAAACCAAAATTAAGGACAAAAATCGTGATATCGCAAAAAATCTCAAAGGAAACACACGAAAACAGAACAATAATTCCAATTACGACGAACCTGTAGAAAAATATTTGTCATACCCAATAGAAGTGCGTCAGTTTCTCTCAAACCGCTAACGATATCAAACTTCAGTATTCTTCTTAAAACAACTCCAATCCGCTTTAAAATGCGCCTGCGATTCAAAAACCAAACAAATCATTCAAGTAAATCCCATAATTAAACTCAAAAACTGAAGAATAATTAATCGAGTGCATCAGTTTCTCACAATCTGCTAACGAAACCAAACTTCAGTATTCTTCACAAAACAACTCCAATCCGTTCCAAAATGCGCCTGCGATTCAAAAAAACCAAAACACAAATTCCCATGATCGAACACGCAATTGTAGAATAATAAACCATTGAAAAAAATTCAGATCATCGATGATTAATATTTCACTGCATTTCCACTCACCAAATTCTCCACAAAAATAATGATCTTAATTTTTGAGAAATGCAAAAATAGAGAGAGAAAATTCAGGGAGAGGGAGAGAGAGAGAGACTTCTTCTTCTTCTGAATGGAGAGAAAAGTAAGAAAACTCTCTTTTGCTTCGAAACCCCCATTTTTGTACCCCCTCCGTTTCCTGTTCTCACTCTATTGTTTCATCTCTGAGCGTTGAAAGAAAATCCGACGGTCTCGATTTCTTTCGACTAAACCGTCGAGGTCGCTAAGTTACGGCGTTATTGTGTCCCACTTAAAGACTGGATTTTACTTCACGGCGTTAGCCCATCAAACGGAATCTTTTGCGCTGTTAGGTCGCCGTTATATTTATTTGATTTATTATTATTATTATATCATTATTTTAAATTATGGACATTTCTCGCATACCAGTGCACAGGCGCTTAGCACGTGACTAACTTAACCATGATTTCATATTTAACTCGGGTTAAGTGAATATTAGGTTGATGACATCATAAATAAAATCATGTTTAAAGTCTAGACTTTGACGAGCTTATCTATGCAACAATGGTTGGATTTGTGTGTTGATTAATATTTACATCAGGAAATTGGAATTGCGATAGATGTAATCATGCAAATGAGAGAGATCTGACCAGGTTTTGCCCCACTTCACGTTTATGGTCTTAATTTCGTTCATTTTTCGTCAAGGATTGACACGTTCATTGAACAAATGGTGATAAGATTTGAACTTAAAAACCTTTATCTACTCCGATATCATATTGAATCACTATTACATAGTGCTTTTAAGTCGTTAAATACTTATAAATTGTAAGGACTATGGAATGCGTGGAATTAAACACCTGTTTGGTATAAATTAAAATTAAAATTTTAATTTAAGTTAAAGTCAACAATTAATTTTAATTACACATTTTATAGAACCCATAATTTTTCAACCACACATTTCATCAACTTTTATCAAAATTTATTAAAAATCTGATTTTAATCACCACCCAACAAGAGCTAAGTCATATACATATTAATTTAGTATTGTATTCTACATAATTAACATGAAAAAACACAAATTCCGAAACAAAACTACAACGAGATAGATGATTTCTCCGAAATTCATATATACCAGAACTTTATATATTGCTAAAAAGTTGTTTTAGACATAAACATGAAAGGTAAATCATTTATAGGTACCAAATACCAGTCATAAGGTAGCAGTTAAGCTTTGACGTTACAAATACATAAAACATTGAAGTACCAAGGTCGTATCCTCGATGTACAATAATTTGAGCACGTTTTGCTGAACTTATAAGTTACTTTTAAGTACTTGTATTTTCGGAACATCTTTGAGATTTTTCAAAANCCTCGTACAACTCCCCACTTTGAGCATTTTCACCACTTACGCCAACTTAACTCACGGTTTTAATAAACTGGTGGTTCGGTTAATAAACTGTGAAAAGGGAGGGAATAATTGAATTTAGATAAAAAATTAAATAAATTTTATCCAAAAAAAAATTAATATTGACCAAGTCCAGACCCACGACCCGTGCTCGTGCCGGTCGGACGGCGGTGGCGCGCGCGTGGCCTTTGGTTAGTCTAGACATTGTCTAAAACTCCCCCCTTTCAAAGACTATTGGTACCCCTTGAGGCCCAAACTCATATCCAAACTTGAGGTTTATTAAGTGGTTCAAGGTTGTGTTTGCAACCTGTGTGGGATTGGAACAGTTTTTCCAATTCTTTCTCATTTATTCCTCTTATTTATTGTCCAACTTTCAACCAAAATTTCTCATTCATATTGAAATGATTTTTCACAATTAAATATTCTACATTCATCTACTCGGAACGTAGTATTTAATTGAACATTTATTTCGACAATTCGAACATCGAGCCCCACTAGAAATTGTGGTCAAAGTTGACCCATTTGGCACCATTTCCAACAGTATCCTCGATGTACAATAATTTGAGCACGTTTTGCTGAACTTATAAGTTACTTTTTAAGTACTTGTATTTTCGGAACATCTTTGAGATTTTTCAAAAGTTATTTTTCGGGAGGATTTTTAGTTCAAAAACTTGCTTTACGAAAAGTCAGTCTTCATAAAATGAAATTTAAGTTAGCCAAGCATGTTCTGAAACTCTCTGTATCCCGAATTTTGGGGCATTCAAGCACTAAATCCCCTGTGGAGAGAGCTCCAAGAACTGGAAGGGAAACTGGCACAGGCCAGAGCCGATGCCTCTGCCATTTGTTCTTGCTTTATGCCAGCATTGCAGATGATAGAACGCATGTGTTTCATTCCATATTGGGATATAGATCCACAGTGAGTCTCAAATGTTCTAACCTGCAAAGAATATAAGAGTAATGCTTTTTTTTTCAGAACAGAATACCGTAATACACTGGTGGCACATTTGGTATGTAGGTTTGATAGTACTAGACAATATTACACAAGAAAGGAAGTTAAAAAGCTGTTAATCTCACCGTTAAATAGGATCAAAAATTGCATACCGAACATGCATGGGATGTTTACTCAAGTGCAAGGCCAATTAATAGGGTCAGCACATGGGGAGTTATTTTTTAATTCTTAGGGCATAAAATTAATAATACTAGGGTGTAGCATAAAAATATCTCATGCTCTATGTGGTCTCATAATATTTTATCTGAACAGAAAGCAGTCATATTGCGGGAATGCAGTTACTGAATTGTACCAAGGATTTAAGACGGTCCCAGTCATCAACAAGTGGCTGGCCTGTAGGCCGAACGGTCTTTAGCACTTCAGGCCCATTTTCGATTCCAAAGAGAAGTTTCCCAACAAGTTTGATACTACTGTCAATGTGCGTTCTGTGTGCCATAGCATCAGCAAGCTGCTTTTGAACTTCAAATTTCCTAAGAGAGCCTTCTGGAGCCTTGATGAACTGCCAGTATGTCATGCAAACTATTATATGTATCTAAAATAAATCATTAAAGTCTATATATTACAGAATGAATGAAGAAGACATTAGAGCTGTAAGAGTGACATGATAATTTTAGCATCAAGAAGACTCCCCAAGTTTCACGTAATTTTGTCCACACCTAGTCCTTGGTTTCAGTTTTACCCACTCAACTCCTAACCCAATTTTGAACCAATAGAAAAATAAACTAAACTGATACAAAAAGAAAAATAAATGTAAAATGAAATTCAGGCTACATTTATCAAATGGAAAAGAGTTCAGTGAAAGTAGATGAGAAATGGCTTCTCTGAAGTTTAGTGGGGAAGTCTTCGAAGCAACAGAAAAAATATGGAAAGGAATAGTTTTTATTTTAGTTTTAAGTAACATGTGAAAAAAATAATAAATAAATAAATAAATAAAATTAGTGGCATTTTCATAAAAAGCATTGAACCACTTGATCTAAAAACTTAGCCGATAGAAAGGTTCAAAAGTATATCATTTAAATTTTAAAATTCTTGATTATAGGGTGCTTCATGTATTCTAGTATATTGTAGATTATAGCAATGCCTGCCATACAAATAGGGCTAAGCTTTCACTTTAGCAGATATAGCAAGGTTCTCTGACAACTATTCCTTATTACCTTTAACATGCAAAAATAGCAGTTCAGAATTTTTTTCCTTGTGCATTGTATAATGATATAAACAAATGTAAATTTTTTATCCAAATTACCTATAAAAAATGAAATCATTTACATAAAGGGCTAATAGAGTATGATCCAGGGAGCTTTTAGCTTCTTTTCTGGGAAGTCTTGGTGTAATTTGTTAAAGAGTACCAGCATGCATAAGCCCAAACATTATGAATGTATATTAATGATACTGCCAGCAGCTTCACTAATGTCCAAATAATGGACTCGAATTTAACATTGGCTCTCCTTTCAAATTTGACTTGCAGCATAACTGACCTCTTATTATATCATTTAACTAATACTGACCTCTAAATGGTACCAATGCATGACAAAAACAAGCATTAGGATTAAAGCGTGTAGTTAACTCAGTGTAGTAGAAAAGGAGTTACAAATACCTTATGCCAAAAATGTAAAAGATCAGCATCACACTGGTTAATAGCTTGAAGATAGGTGCAGTGCATTGTTGTCCACAAAACTCTAGTTATCATTAGCAGGATTTGCACCCATGTACAGGAAAAGATTCTCCACACTTAGCTTCAATTCACCATATTGCATGACATGGGAGCCATAAAAGTAATTTTGATTAGCAGTTCTCCTTCTAACCTGTGAATGCCAACATCATAAAATCATAAGAAATGCACACACAAAAACAAACAAACAATCAAACAAACAAGATGGAGGGCGGCTGCATTTTGGACGTTTCTAGCAAGACACTAAAAATAATTATACTCATTTATCTCCATTCTTATATTTTTTAGGAACAATGTCCACCATAAAATGACAACTGAAAGCACAAAATGTGCAATTGATTAGGTGAAATCCATGTAGAATTTCAACCTTCCCACCACAAAAAGACTGATGATCTAATTTTGTAATTTATTTCAGGTTAAATACAAATGGTTGATTCAAACGTTCCCACTAAAGCCTAAATTTCTCTAATTTCAGGCAGGCTGTTCAATTGTAAATGCACAGTTAGATACAAGATCTTACCAGTTGATATTGTTGCCTCAAAGTTTCTTTCCGCAAACTGTGTATTTCACGGATCATGAACAAATGGGTGTGAGTAATTAGTAAAACATAAAGCCGAACATGGTTATTTAAGTAATCAATCTATAAATCCACTAAATTGAAATTATTAGCAAATACATCCCTTTATTTTCTTTCGATGGCTGTTACTAAAAAGATAGTTAATAAGTTTGCTTGGGCAGCTAATGATCTAGTGATCAACCAAAATATAATTAGCAATATGCAAAAAAAGGAAGAAAAACAGGTGTGTACCTGTCCTCCATCCAGGCAACACTATAAAAGTCACCCAAGCAGGTTTCATATTCAGGGGGAGGACCCAGATAGTCACCTGGGCAGTAGGTTCCCAAGCTGCTCTCTTCCGCATTTGATGCAGTGGTTGCATATATATTCAAGCCTTCAGGAAGAAGGCCCTCAAAAATACTTTCGGACTCACAAGCTTCAAGGTAAAAAAACCTAATAAAGTTTAAAAGAATAACCCTTCAAAATTTCAGAACATGCTTCAATGGTATAAATTGGAACTGAAAATGAAAGCCAATAATTGATTTACCAAGCTTTTATATGTCCCAGGAAGCATGCTTCTTCTTCAAAACATCAACTATGTCATTTGCATAAAGGTAATGATTTGTAGGCAACCCTGAGCATATGTGTGATAACAAATAAACCAGTTAGCATAACTAGTCTACCAAGAAGGGAAAAAATGTAAAAACTACGCAAATCAAAGGACGCTACTAGTAAGTTACTAACCAAGCACCCCAGGACCACCATGATCAGCATAGTATATGAAGATATGATCATTTGGACCGCTATCTACAACTTTCTGCTACCTCCTGTGAGTGCAGTTCTGTTCCCAAGGATCACAGCCAAAAAGTTGTTGACAGTAACATCTTCTCCATCATAATCCTGGTTTACAAAAATTCACTGCATGAAAAATAGAAATACAGTTTCAACAATCAAAATATGACTAAAAGACTTGAGAATAACACAAACCTTAGGAACTCCATTATAAACATCTTAGCCATGAGGGCTGTTAATGATCACTCCAGGCCTAGAGTTCTCTTCATTTTGAGCAATGTCGTCATACATGAAAACAATGATATTTTCATCTTTGAGACCACCTCTCTCGAGGATTTGATATGCATGGCATAAATCCGCCTAGTAGAAAAGTAAAAGCCCTATATCATATTGACTGTGAAATGAAAATTACAAAGATGGTGATTTATAGTTATCATATAGAACCCATTTCATCTCTACGGGTTGCATGTGAGACTATGTATATTATTATAGGAAACCATGAAATATGATTAAATAACAGTAGTAAAGTTTGTCAAAATAGATTAAGGACATAACTCAATGTAAAAAATTCAGTTAATCTTTTCCCAGTCCTTGCTAGGGTCATAACAATTATGGGATCGTTAGTAGGAACTCAATTTTAAATTTCTAGGAAAATCGTCAAATTTTCTTTAATTCATGTTTACTCTTCTCGCTACACATCACACTTGAAGTGAAGAGAATAGTGTAAATGTTTTCAAATCATTAGAATCTTCATACCAAGAGTTTTGATTTTCGGAAGTTCCTAATCAACTTTAAATACCCTTGCAGGCATGAAAAGTGCCCGGTTATAATCTTCATTGAAAAAATAAAAAAAAATTATAGGTCCCATGTAAATACTATTTGTTTCTATGAATGTGATCAAGTTAAAATAGAAGTTGTCCTTCTCCACATAAAACAAATCAAAGCAAGACCAAACAAATGAAGGTGCTTTATCGTACGTAAATCTTCGAAAAAGACGTAAATGGATTAGAAATGCAATACAATAATGGCATTATGTTACTCATTTTCATCAGCTGCCAAACAAAACAAAAGGCGATTTCAAACAAAATAAATTATAAAATTGTGTGGGCCAGTGAACTTCCTGATCCAACAATTACGTACATCATGTCAAGGATTACTATACCTAACATAAGATCATTTTCAGTTTCTTTTGTCAAGATAAATTGCCAACTTGTTTTTCCAATTCTAAATTACTTCGTAAATCGAGTAAGGAAACCACTGGGAAGAAGTGAACATTGTCTTAACCAGATAAATATATAAAGAATTGGTCCTCTTGTACTTGAGAGGCTAGTAACAACCAAATTTGAAATCTTGACGTCTTAGAACTAAATGCCACGAACTGTAGCTACGAATTATGGAGATTACTTTAGCTACGAACTTAACAGAAAATGCCAGGATTTTTATGAAGTTGAGTAATGACAAATTTACTCTCTTTCGAGAAAAAGTACAACAAAAAACCAAAAAGAGAATCCTTTAAACATAAATGAGAAACTGTGTAATTATAAACAGAATTATAAAATCAAAGTTCAGCCAAAAAAAAAAAAAATAATAATAATAATAACTAAAGCATTTAATTTCGATCATAAAGAATTTAATAAATGTGCGTGTTAGGAAGCTAATCACCTGGTGCCGGTAATTCCAGTAACCGGTGGAACCAGCTAGGAGGACTGCCTATTTGGTCCCCACGGCATCCTCATTGTCATTGGCAGCACCGCTATTCTCCTCAAAGCCGCCAAAGAATTGGCGAGCTTCAGACAGCAGATTGATCAAATTCCGGCCATCGGCAACGGCCAGGATCGAAAGCGCTAGGAGGAAATTTGCACCGACGGCGATCCGAATCATCGTTGTCACCGGTGACAAGGAATTTTTATATAAAAAAAATGTGGATAAAATTGAGTTTGATCTGTGATATATGATGCAGGTAAAGTTCTTGATGGGGGAAAAGATCCTGTGCAGCGCAGACATGGGTAATACATTTGCAATCGGTATACGTTAGTAGTCGAACCTTGAATTCTTAAGGCCAAAAATTACACAGTCAAAACTGTACAACTATACAGATTGTAGCGTATTTGCGAGAATTGCTAAGGCGAAAATAATTAGGTAAATTACGCATTTTGTCCCAAGCCTTTAAACCTTCGTTATCGTTCCATCTTTGTTCCCAACCTTCTATTTATCACATCTTTGCTCCCCTCGTTGATTAAATAACGCAACTCATCCCTAATGGCCATAAAAAGACTGTTTTGCCCTCTATTTAATACAAAAATTTAAATCAAGAAATTCAATGAATAAAAAATAAGGGATAATAAAAATATGAAAACTATCTAATAAAGGGGGTGTTTGAGCCCCAATTATTTTTTAAGAATACTAAGTGCAAGCAACGTGCAATGCACGTTTGCTTAGTTTATATTTAATATTTTTGTAAAATAATTAATTTGTTATTAATAAAGATGTGGTTTTTTGGTTAATTAAGGACGTGTCTGGGCGCGCTGTANATAAAATTGTGTGGGCCAGTGAACTTCCTGATCCAACAATTACGTACATCATGTCAAGGATTACTATACCTAACATAAGATCATTTTCAGTTTCTTTTGTCAAGATAAATTGCCAACTTGTTTTTCCAATTCTAAATTACTTCGTAAATCGAGTAAGGAAACCACACCCTTCTTCACTTGTAACAGAATTTCAGATAAATATATAAAGAATTGGTCCTCTTGTACTTGAGAGGCGAGTAACAATCAAATTTGAAATCTTGACGTCTTAGAACTAAAAATGGAATGAAATCTAAGCAGTGAATACCCCCACCTCACCACAAATTATGGAGATTACTTTAGCTACGAACTTTACAGAAAATGCCACGATTTTTATGATTGAGTAATGACAAATTTACTCTCTTTCGAGAAAAAGTACAACAAAAAACCAAAAAGAGAATCCTTTAAACATAAATGAGAAACTGTGTAATTATAAACAGAATTATAAAATCAAAGTTCAGCCAAAAATAATAATAACTAAAGCATTTAATTTCAATCATAAAGAATTTAATAAATGTGCGTGTTAGGAAGCTAATCAACTGGTGCCGGTAATTCCAGTAACCGGTGGAACCAGCTAGGAGGACTGCCTATTTGGTCCCCACGGTATCCTCATTGGCAGCACCGTTACTGTCCTCAAAGCCGCCAAAGAATTGGCGAGCTTCAGACGGCAGCTTGATCAAATCCCGGCCATCGGCGACGCCAGGATCGAAAGCGCTAGGAGGAAATTTGCACCGACGGCGAACCGAATCATCGTTGCCACCGGTGAGAAGGAATTTTATTTAAAAAATGTGGTTAAAATTGAGTTTGATCTGTGATATATGGTGCAGGTAAAGTTCTTGATGGGGGAAAAGATCCTGTGCAGCGCAAACACGGGTAATACATTTGCAATCGGTGTACGTCAGTAGTCGAACCTTGAATTCTTAAGGCCAAAAATTACACAGTCAAAACTGTACAACTATAGAGATTGTAGCGTATTTGCGAGAATTGCTAAGGCGAAAATAATTAGGTAAATTACGCATTTTGTCCCAAGCCTTTCAACCTTCGTTATCGTTGCATCTTTGTTCCCAACCTTCTATTTATCACATCTTTGTCCCCCTCGTTGATTAAATAACGCAACTCATCCCTAATGGCCATAAAAAGACTGTTTTGCCCTCTATTTAATACAAAAATTTTAATCAAGAAATTCAATGAATAAAAAATAAGGGATAATAAAAATAGGAAAACTATCTAATAAAGGGGGTGTTTGAGCCCCAATTATTTTTTAAGAATATATTTTGAAATAGTAGATTAGTGCACAATGTGTGGTCAAAGAAGAAGGAAAAAAATTTATTTGCGTGTAATATTATTTTAATGAAAAATGTGTGATTGAAAAGAAAAGAAAAAAATGTATTTTGAAAAAAAAAATGGGAATCAAACATCATCTTTGTCGTCAACTCGGTGGCTTTGGTGGACAAGGAAGAAGGGAAAGCCTCCCAACCGTCGACTGCAGAACCACTAATAATGATTCGAGTGCCTACTAGATAAAATTATTTTTTTATTATAGTGTCTACTACTACGAAGTATTGTGTAGAAAACACGATCATGCTCAACTATTCATGGACAGTATGAACTTACCTCAGAAAATTTCACCGAAAAAGAATGAGAAGAAAGGAAACATGTTAAAATGATCTTTTAATCATGAATAATGCTATTTAGTCCAACTGTGATTATAATTCCAGTGGTGTTAGGAAATAAACTAAATGAAATGTGAAATTAAATCATCAATTTAATTCCACTTATTATTTAATGTCACATTAGTGTCATATAGACTGGAATTATAACCTCAATAAGACTAAATAGCATTACTCTTTAATCATAAATCATTATTTATGCTGTTTTGATTCAATTTTTACAAGGTACAATATACAGAGAACTAAAACAAAACTACTAGGAAAGTTGAAACAGCAACAACCATTGCCATTCACAGCTTTTCATATGAAAAACTTGTGGTGGTTTAATCCTCTTTTCCCCACTCCTAAAACCCAGACGAGCTACCTCGGTAGCATTTCTTGAACATGTCGTAAAGTGGCATTTCTTAATAATTTAGCTGCAGATCATGTTGATTCTTGTTTGAAAGAAGAGGCAGATGACAGTGCAGTCATCTCTTTTCGAGTTTGGAAAATTGCGTTTCCAAGCAGCAGTCGAGGCATCCACCACTGCTTTTGCTGCAGCCTCTTCGTTATCGGCTGAGGCCACTATGGATATGACTTGATCATTGTTAAGCACATCCCACACCTTAAATCCAACATAAGAAGCAAAACTTAGTTCCATAAACAACATTAGCACTGTGAAAATGGAGCTTTTGATGAGTATAGTGGCCTTACCCCATCTGTAGCCAGTACTAGAAACTGATCATTTGGGGATATATGGTGATAGGAGATATCTGGGATGGAGATTATGCCGTGATACTTGAGTAAAAAGTCCCCAAAAGCTCGAGACATGGCTAGGCCAGGAGAGTCTTCTTGAGGTAGCCAAACTCTTTGTATGTGTGGTTCTTCTTTTAGTGCTAGTACCCTTCCATTGCACTTTCTTATTCTCTCAGCCTCCTCTGCATTACAATTTGTTTGATGAACATCTTGTTGCACAATAAAACGATTCATAAACAACGAGTTTTTGCTACGATTAGAGATTTGTCTATATAGGTCTGCATTCATTGGACTTATTTGGTTCGAACACGTGTTTGTGTAGAGTGTTCTTAGGGACATTTAGACATGCATTATAACTAGACACGGTGTATCCAACATAAGATTTTGCAAAGGATCTTACCAGGCACTTCTGGTTTGAAATCGGTAGTTAACTGAACAGCCTTTATTCCATTCTCAGTCTTTGTTCCCAAAACTGCTCTGGAATCACCAAGATTTGCAATAACAAGATCTCCCCCCTGTCAAAAGTTTTGACAAATCAATAACATAACAATTAACAATGTTTGATTCCCACAAATTCGTGAACAAAAACAAAGAGATAAGAGCACGTTATCCCCAAGTTTTCTTCTATATATTGGGAACTTTCCCTGGGGACACGAGAGGGCTCAGGCACTTGAGAGAAAGACTGACTCCCCGGATAAGCTTAACCAGATTTGCCCCCAGGTGCCTTCAGACGGCTCCTAAGAGAAAGACTTCCTTTCCGGATAAGCTACTCCGGGGATAATGAAACACAAACCTCAACATGGCTTCTTTTTTTTTTATCGTACCTGTTTTACGACAACAACAGCAGTAGTTCCACTGCAGGAGAAGTCAAATTTATCAAGAAGCTTAAGTTCCTTGTCCATCACTTTAAAGGCACTCAAACCAGCCTCTTTCCATTTCATGAAATTCTTGCTTGGTAATAATTCACCATTCACTCTCACACTTTTTTTAGGAGATGATGTGCTGATCTTTGCTATTGCATTTCTCTGGTTAAGAAGCAATGATGGCAACCGGTTTCTCACTAACTTGCTCACAATATGACCATTTTTTCCATGTCCATCAAAAACTCCACAAAAAGCTCCATCTTCAATTCCATAGCCCTGCCAAAAGTAAGAAGTTTCATATTCAGAAGCCTAGTTTTAAAGCACCCTATTCTGCCTGAAATTAATCTCATTGAACTATTTTAACGCCAATAAAATCTATTAGCTTGTTTGGTAAGACATGTAAACATGCATTGTATAGTATTGGACAATATTAAGGAAGAAAAATCGTGTTCATTATTGTTGGATTTTAAGCGCACAAGAATAGAGAAATCAACACAAGTATTTACGTGGTTCGGTGATGTGTCTACGTCCACAAGGAGCGAAGCGGAGATTTTATTCAATATGAATAATAGGGTTACATGATTAGTATTTATACTAACCATAACCCAAGCCCACACAAGACTTTGGGGCCCGTACAATAATATACATTTGTACCGTACTACCCCAACCTATTCAGCATCCTTGGCAAACAAACAGTGAATTAAACCCACAAGACTGACGCCGTCGCTCCGGCATCGGCCATTTTAATTCAGTAAACTTGTATTTCACTCTATATGGGCCACATAGACAACAATTATACTAGACTAGTGCATACGAAACATGTCCGAAGATCATATCTTATTTTAAGCCAAAATTTGTCTTGGCTTTTGTACTATTATCCTTTATGTGAAATAAGTCAAATTCATGCATAACTTTACAAAGGGTTTGTGGAAATAAGATTAGTATTTCAATAATAATGACTAGGTTGAACATTGAGAAAGTAAGCTTCTTCTTGTTTCCAAGAAATGACATCAAATATGAGATTTTTCGTGCCAATTTGCAGCTTCAGTATACCACTCATCATTCATGATATTCATTAAGCCCGTTAAACGTTGTCCAGTCGAGCCTATCAAACATGTAATAAAGGATTATTGACATACCTGGAAGAGAATTGCAGAATCTTGATTTAAACCTTTGCTTCCTGGATTAGAATAAGTAGAACCAATTACTTGTACTCCATTTGTATCACCAATTTCTCTGTAGTATACTGCATTCTCTTGGCCATATGCATCATCGTGTATCTCAGATGCAACAGATGCACAGATTCCCATACCAACTTTTAGAATTTTTCTTCTTATGCATATACTGTTAGAATCCAAACACAAAAACACTCTCCTTAAATAAGGGGTGTGGACCATGGGAATATGCAAATTGGCTAAATATATAATTCTTGAAATAAAAGTAGTGGCTCTCAGCAAGTTGAAAACTATAATTTGGTTCGATAATTCAATGTTTTTAATGTTAGTTATTTATTCTAGGATACCCCAAGATTCATTTCAAGGGGCATCTTAGGTGTACTTTTGTAATACCTAAGAGTTTCCAAAGTAATTATGTATATTTAAAAGTTATGTCTTGTGTAAGCAATGGAACTTAATTGCAACGACTTCCAAGTTTTTTTTTAATTTTTATTAATAAATTGTGTTGTCTTTATATGTTTGATCCGCTTCCAAAAATCAGGGTAGGCAACACCATCTTTGCATCTTGGACACAATTTTGTTAGGTTAGATGCTTGAGCTTATCATGAAGTGGAACGAAGAAGCTCGTATACTTGTTAGAAATAAACCATCTTTCCATTTTGCTATTAGCCGATCTTGATGGTGAGTTGGGCTCTTTCATGACCAAACCCGATCTCAAGAGTTTAACTTTCAAGTTGTTGATTTGGCTACCCACACCAATACACATTATGTAATACTGCTAAATGATGTAGATAACGAACTTAAAATTTCGTTAGTTTATTGTCAATTAGCTTGATCTTGGGAGGCCAACAGTCTAGTAAATCGAGCGGGGCGCTCATCAAACTTGTACATCGGAACAACTGAGTTGATTGCTCGACTCTATAGGTTGGCTCTCTTATCCCTTTTTTAAAAGGTTTACTTTCATTCTAAGGACCAAGTGGAATTCTCAATCCAAATTTCAAAATTGCCTACCCAAAATCTTGTGGTGCTTCACAGCTGATAAGTCGTTGACTTTCTATGTTAAAAACTACATCTGTTTGAGTTGACTTTAGGTGATAATACAAAAATCTCTTTTTCCAAGAAAATAAAAAATAGAAGAAAATAATATTTGATTGAAGGTCCCGTTGGCAATTGAAAATAAATAAATATTATAAAGTTTCCACACGATTGGAGGAAGGCCATAGGGTTTGGACGAAAACAAAGGTAAATAGAGAAGACTTATTCACATTTTAAAATAATTTTTTTCTTCTAATTGGTAGATTTTAATCAATAAATGTACCAATTTTATTCGTGTTTATTAGATCTAACTACTGATCTCGACTTTGTAAAATATGATATTCATATCTAAAATATGTCCCCGAGCATCTCGAACAAAAATAGATTAACTTTAAATTCATGTGAAAGGGCAGATTATACATCAAGTTTTCTTTATCATTACATCATCAAAAAATTTAATTAGATTGGACTGTATACAGTGATGTATTCCAATTATGATATATAAAATAATAGGAACACAACCCATAAATTATTGACTGATAATAATGGCTCCTAATAATATTTTTGATTTTAGTGTTCGCAATTATTTGAATCGCGGTTTGACGGAGTGTCGATAAGGTAACAGTCTATAAATTTGTGATGCATTTTAAAATAGTAATATCCACCGGAAAATGTGGCCTTGACGAGCTACCACGTAGACAATTGTTTAATAAGCTTTATTTGCAAATAATATTATTCTATACTTTAGAGCGTCTCTTATGGGTTGTGGATTGCCCCAAAAAGTGTACCACATCACCCCCAAAATATTTACACCGCAAGGAAAGGTGGATAACGTGCTAAACTTTCATCGTTTAGTTTTCATGAGGCTCACAATTAGTGCAATCCACATCCCATTTGGAGATGCCCCTTTCATTTTCCATTTTGCTTGTCACATATATAACAATTCACATTGTTGCATTGTAACAATACTAAAATCCTTCTATATGCAATACAAATACACACATTTCCCAAATTATATAGAACACTAGTCCAAGGGTAGATTGAATGTAATTATAAAACCAGAAGTCCAAAACCACAACTCTTGGTGATAAGGTACATTGAATTTATCAGAAACCAAAGAACGTGATGATAGTGCTTATCGCAATCTCATTTTTTCTTTGTTTTTCCAACTTCATTGACTATTTTACATGAAATATTTATTATGCATAATTCACATCTTTTCTTATAGATAATCATATCATATAATTTTCTTCTCTAGTTGAATAAACTCTAATAATTGATGTGCTCTTCACAATGCATTTTGTTTTCTTAATTGAGCAGATATAATTGACAACAAGGCAATGTACCAAAGTCCACCCACACATCTTATCATTACCTACTAAGATTTATTCCCCTCTTTAGCATGCAGTACGATAAATTGGTATAATGGACAAAAATTGAACTTTTTTTTTTCTTTAATGCAGTCTAGTACCATTCCATCCTCACTATCAAACATGCAACAAGAGTTTAAATCCGATAAAGCATCATTTTTTGGAAACAATGTTTACACGTTGGCGCAGATTTAAAAATTCATTTAAGAACTTCACAACATTGATTAACAGCATCTGTTACAAAATGATTCGATAGGTTACAGACAATATATAATAACATGTTTTACAGAAACCCAGAAGCATATTTTCATATCCAAAACACCGAGATCAGTAGATTTGGATTAATAACACGTTGCTTCATTGGATTGACACAATAGCATTTTCATCCACTGGTGCTGATTCCGCTGGAGGAGATCTCTTCGTCAAAGTCTTGGGTACGTCAAAGTCATCTTGCACACAACGCTGCTGAGGATGGGATAACAGCTGGCACATGTGACGAAAAAGAACACGGGTTAATCCTTGACCACTCTCATATATGTAACCCTCATATTCACTAACATGTTCGAGGGCCTCCACAAGGGTATCATATACTTTCTGAGGACAATTATCAGGTCCTGGCTTGTCATGGAGGTAAACAACATCCAATGTGAAGAGTTTCTGAGTCGTTGGGAGCTTATATTGAGGCGATACCGATGATCTACAGTAGAGTAAGATCTGAATGACAGTATAAATTGCGTCAAAATTTGCAAGAATATGCAACTAAAAGCAGGACAAAAATCATGTAAGATCATATGCTCATTTTCCCATAATACACAATAAAGAAAACATGGGAGCTATACCAACCAATTCTTAGTAACTTTAGGGATTGTTTAATTAGACTGTTGGAGACCTGTAGTTGGCTTTTGAGCCTCCAACAGAAATTTGAGTTTGTTGGTGGTGCCGTTCTAATCCAATCAATTACAGTCAATTTTGGGTTTGTGGTAAAAGCTTCAAATAAAAGCTTTACACCCGTCCTTCAGTTCTTGGTTCTTTGTTTTTTCCTACTGTCCAAATATAACCCCACCCAGTATGACACACAATAAAGAGATCCTTAACCGCATCTAACTTGTTTTCTCCTCTCTTGCATAATTTGAAAAAGGGTGTTCGGATTTTCTCACTCTACAACGTAAAGCAATATCATGACAAGAAAGTCATGCCTTAGGGATCCATTAAAGTATAAGTTTTGTAATTCTTCCAATTTGAATATGGGTATTGAATATTAATTGATTCTGATTTGTGGTTATGATGAATTATGGGCTGAAAACCAGTTTCTCGGGATGGAAAGTCATTCCACTTGTGATTTATTGCCTGCTTATTAGAACAATGCGTTTGTTAAGATGTAATATTTGGGATAAATGATGTGATCTGTTTACTACAATAAGATTATTCTGTCTTTTTTTTCTTATCTTTTAATGTTTATTTTGTTACAACGCCAATCACGGGCTTTCAAGTAACAGTTTACATATTTCTAACTTAACTTGAGCACCATATTCGAAGACACACCACATATTACCTACTGCAAGTCCACGTGGCAGCAATTTTTTTCCCTACTTCAACCTTTGGACAATTGTACTTCTAAAATAGGAAAAGAACGATACTCAACAAAGTTGTTGCATAGTGTAACGACCTAGTCTCTATAACCAAGTCATTATATCATACGACTGTGCCTAATTGATACCAGAGTTCAACTTAAGTCTCTAATTAGGAAAATGTCTTGAGTTCGAATCCAGGCGAACGAGATATAAAGTCGTGAGAGAGTAAGTGGACAGATGCCAACCTGGAATGGACAATACGTTTGATATAATGGCGTGGGCACTAGGTAATGGTCTTGGGTTTGAATCTTTGGGGGACGCGATATAAAGCCATGAGAGAGAGAGTGGAGATATGCAAACCCAGAGCGGACAACACGTATGATATAACGGCTTAGGCAGAGGTATTAGATTCGAATATTGAGGGACGCGATATAAAATCGTGAGGGCATAAGTGGGAAGATGTCAACCCAAAGCGATATAACGGCTTAGGCATAAAGGCCTGGTCATTAAAAAAAACACGCGTTTTCTACTAAACCCATATTACCCCTCACGAATTTCTACCACGTCCCCAAGATTCGAACCCTTGACATTTCCCTTAAGAATGCCTTAGGCTCTTTTAGAGCGGACGGTACGTTAGTTAATGACTTGGGTATAGAGGTTGAGTCGTTACACATTGAGTTACTATGATTAGAGTTAGACATGTCAGGGTAGAAGGAAATATTCCAAAGCACCATGCAATGAACCAGCCAACAAAATAGCATTAGGGGGGCGTTTGGTAGTGATTTGAGAATTGATTCTCAAATCAATTCTCATTTTCAACCACACATTCTTCAATAAAATAATATTTGCTTGAACGTCAATAATTTTTTCTTCATTTTCAACCACACATTTCCCATCATATCACTATTCAAAAATCAATTCTTCCCCCAAAAATCCCTACCAAACAAGCTCTAGCTTTGTCATTACAAAATCTTCCCAACATAAGAACACAAAATTGTTAAAAAAACGCTGATGCAGTCTAATAGGATTATGTAAAAAATGCGTATAGTGGACTCATTACTCACCACCCGGAAGATCCGACTCTGTGCCCGAGATTTTTTAGCTTCATGAGCTGCTACTCTGAGTAGTTGAGTGAGATCTGCATGACTGGAAGATGAATCTACAGAGATTCCTTGCAATGCAGCGGTTGCAGAGTCAACTTCACTGCTGAACTCTTTCCGGAGCTTCACAATATCAAAAGAAGCACATGGAGAAATCAGCTTTATCTGCGTCAATAGTACTTGAACACGATTGAAAATTAAAGGATACCAAGAAAATAAATGACCAATTTATTAAAAATGAACTAGATACATATTGTTGATCTGGGATTCAACATGCCTTGCACGCTGCTTCAAAAACTGAAAACACTAAACAGTAAGTTCAGCCACCTCATCCATGAAGAGCGTGACATATCCCTTCCAACATAATGTGCAACACACCCACCAGGAAAAAAAATTTTTTAAAAATGACATAAAAGTCTCATCCAGTTACAGATAGAGTGATAATCTTTTGAACTTAAAGTTACTAAAGAAAATTTCTGTAAACCATGCTTAAACTCTAGTACCTTGTCTTGCAGGTGAAATTCTGCATTGCATTATCATTTGAGATTCAATTTTCGAGAAAAATGCAATCAGAGCTCAATCGAGTCAAGACTTCTAGCAAAACAATAAAGAATCCGAGAAGGAAACAAAAGGACGTGAGAAGAAGAGAAACAATTCTTTTCTAGACGTTCACGAGCAGAAGTTGAAAAACATTTATATCAAGTTTGGTACAGGGTATTGATACTGCAAGAGTGAAGTACAAAGTACGAGATTTTAGCTTTATTTCTTTTTGCAATACCCGGTCCAGTATCTTCCAACCCTCCTCACCAAAAGATTGAGGAATCAACAGATTGAGGTGAACATTATACCTTGTTGTATACAGAAAATGAGAATAATGTGGCGGGTCTCCCTGATAATCAGCCAAAGAAAGCTACAGACTTGTAGAACTAAGGTACCAATGGGGTTTTTTAAATCAGACTAAAAGAGCATGTGACGCGGTTTAACCCAACCTTATTGGGTGGTTTAGTGGTCAAGGGTACCAACTGTTAACTCAAAACTCCGGGAATCAAACCCTCTACTCATCCTATCCTGACCCTCGGGTTCCCAAATCCAGTTACAATAAGCTCAGAGAAAGGTAGTGCAAATCTTTATGATACCAAATGTATCAATCCATATGTATATTGATTTCTAGTACTAATTATATAAAAATGGGATTGAAGGGAAACAAGAAACTACCCAGGAAAATGTTTTTGTCAGGGCGGCGAAGGCAAAGCGGTGATCGGGGTTAATGGTGAGCTTAGCGTTGATAAATAGAAGTATGGCCTGCTTTATGGACTCCAGTCTAGTGAAGGGTCGACCATTAGGTCCCGCCGCCACCTTCATCTCCACCATTGTTTCTGGGCCGACGTCGATGCAGAACAGTATGTCCTCATTAAAAAATCGGGCCGGTGGCAGCGTATATCCGACAGCGCCTGGCCCCGGCAGCGACGGCGGATTCCCTAATTGCGCTGGAGAGCTTCGCCCTTCTGTTCCTCTTCCTTCCATTCGTTTGTCGTTGATTCGTGAGAGGAAAAATGTGGCAAGTAATAAGGTGAAGTGAAATATAGACGGTGTGTGATTAATCTTTAATTATTTATTAGTGAGAATGTTGGAACTACATTCTTTAACGTTTATTTTTCTCAAAATTAATTTTTAACAACGTAATGTTAAATTTTTCGATAAAATAATTTTATACGTAAATTTAAGTTTTTTTATTTTTTAATCATAAATTGATTTATTTTTATTGAAAAAGTCATTTTTTACAAATTTATTTTTAAAAAAATGAGATCAAACGAGAACTAAATCTACAAATCTAACGTTCTTGTATGATTGAAATCGTCGATAAGAACTATATGCAACATTCGATTGAGTTTGGTAGAAATGTTACATAATTTAACTGTTTTGCTTTTGGAATTTAACTTATCATGAAAAATCATTTATAATTTATCTACACTAATAGTTCTAGTCGCATGGAGATCACGATTCATACATTTTAAAAATTTCGGAGACCTAGAAGTATACGTGTTATTTTAATCTAGATTTGAGTCCAGTAAAGTCACATGCAAATTTGAGTTGTATTCATTTGGAACTTTTAAAAACTTTTAAGAATTTAAAAAGTTTAGGTATATTCAATTGAGACTTTTAAAAACTCTCTAAAAATTTAGGTATATTTAATTGGGACTTCACAGACTTTTAAAAAGTCCATAAAAGTTACGGAGTATTGAATTGAAACTTTCTTTTAGGGTCTATAATATGTATTCAAATAGACGTGACTTTAGGAGAATTATGGACTTCTAAAGACTTTTTGGTGAGAAATATAAATAGCAAATTTCAAATAAAATCTCTTATATATTCTGAAACTTGTGAAGATTGTAGAGCAAAGAAAAAAAAACATCTTCTTTATTTTAATTTTAGGATTTTCTCATATCTCTTCAATTCAATTGATATAATTAATTTATGATTATTCTATATGTACATAATTATTTTTGAATTAAAATTATATTCAATTGTTTCAAAACGTATAATTCCATATAATCAATCTATTATTTCTTTTCTTTCATTTTTTTTAGGTAAGAACAATTTGTATTTTTTAGGATTTATGTTAATTTCGCGAAAAACTTTTGGTTATGAATTGATGTAAAAGTTTTTATTATTTTATTTGCACCAAATTGAATGATTGGATCATGACTAGTGACTTTACCCAAAATAAATTTGTGGGCATCATGGATCTTGAAAATGCTAATTAAGTAGTAAGAACGATTATAATTTTAAAGGTATATAATGAATTTGCAAAATGAAAAATGTTTAAAACTCTTTAAAAATCTTTAATCAAAGTCTACATAAGTCCGTGGAAGGCTTTTATTAAATCTTAACAAATGCATAGAAGTCACTTAGAAGTTCATAAAATCAAGAAAAGCCAGCCATTTAAAAAAGTCTTTAAAAGTCCAAATTAATTCAAATATTAGAACATGTTTGGAAATCTATAATCGTGAAAGAGTAAAGAGTGCGTGCACATTTTTTTTTTTTTTTCCAATTTCCAAATTACTATTCTTCAAATAAAATGATCAAAGTACAATTTGAGTTTTTTACATCGAAGCACTTACTCTTGAAATGATCTAGATTTGTAATATTGATTAAAGTTGGGCAACGTGCGTTTTAGACTTTTAGTATAATTTTTTAAGAACAAGATATACTCATTGAACTTCGGATATTATGCAAATGAAACCATTTAGTTTCATGTAACTATTGAAATAGTTTAGTTTCAGTTCAACTTCAATTCTACATTTTTTTTAAAGAACAAAGTTCACATTGATAATTGCGATTGATATTTAGATGTACATATTGAATTTTGAAAGATGTACATTCTATTAGGGCTTAGCTGGAATGTAATATACTTTACAGTAAATGACATTTTTCCTATCGTTTAACTATGGAAAATTTACATCAATTCCTACTTTTTAACTTTGAATTTAAAAAATAACGTATCAATCTTTTTCTTTTTCTTTTTTAATCAAAAATCAAGTGTATCCATCTCACCCTTCTTCCTCTCAACCAAGCCCTCACCAGTCACCACTGGAACAATATAATCAAAGAAGCTGAAAATGAAAGCAGCCATATTGAGCTCCCTTATCGGGAGGAGCTCTATAGTTGCTCCATCATAGTCGCATGTATTGCAAAGTGGCATTTTGTTGGAGAGTCACCATTCCAGGAGTCATCATTGGATTAATCAACCGCTGTATCTACTCATGAAGCTAAACTCACTTGTCTCTAAGTTGTACCTAGCTTACGTCGTTCACATTAGCACCAGATTTGACGACTCTACTAAAAAATGCAAATAATAATCATCACATTTTTTATATAAAACGTGTCGCCCTTTTTGGTGGGATTTTTTTTGGTTTTTTTTAGGTGATGGCAATAGCAACGTTGGATTGGAGTGGAGTGACACGGGGTGACATGAAGAGTGATTGTGACCAATTAATTGGAATTATGATTAATAAATACTTTGTGATTCATTAAATGTGTAATTTGTGATTAAAATAGATAATCGTAACTCACAAATTGTGTCATTGACATAGTGACCAGGGGCGGATCTAGGGACGGGCTGACCAGTGCTACAGCCCGTCCCTTGCAGCCCAAACGCTGAAGAAAAAAAAATTATGTGTGAATTTTTTCTCTTTGCGTATTAACCCGTGCTAAATTTTTTTCTGGATCCGCCAATTTGTGATTAGCACGTGATTGTGATTATAAATTATGTGTTATTATGATCATAATATATTTAATTAAATTATAAATCATTATATTTTATCAGACATTACCAATATGATCACCTAATTTTTAAATTTTTTTCACAATTTATTATTGTTAAAATGGTATTTTAAGCCTTATAATTTTTCCCTTAAACGAATGGCATTGTGAACAATTTAACGCTTTTCCCCTTCTGTGGGCGTCGCTTACTCTAGCACCTGCACCATGTATGATTTCTCTTCGTTCTATTGAACTGCTACCATAGTGAATTTTACATGAGGTGGGATGATCAATGATTTGTTAAAGGAGGGCGTGTGTGTTAGATAACTCCAATTTTCTTACACTCAACACAGAAATGGATTCCACTCTTCACTCCAACAGAACCAATAGGTGGAAAAAGAGACCCATTAATCCTCCAAATTGCAAAGCCCCTTTCCTCACCTTCTTCACAATCTTATTTTGTATAGTTTTCTTCATTTCCTACAAATCTCTATTTTCCCCTTCAATCCACCAAATCTCCACAAATTCCCAATCTGATCTTCCACTACAATGCACCGCCACAAGCACCACCGGTTCATTGGAAAAGTTCCTCTGGTACGCACCGCACAGTGGATTCAGCAACCAGCTCTCTGAGTTCAAGAACGCAATTCTAATGGCTGCGATTTTGAATCGAACGTTAATTGTTCCTCCTGTACTGGATCACCATGCTGTTGCTCTCGGGAGTTGCCCAAAATTCCGGGTTTTGAATGCTAATGACTTGAGATTCAAAGTCTGGACTCACAGTATTGAGCTCATCAGCGAACGCAGGCAAGTTGTAAAATTTAATTAGTAATACGAACTTTATATGCATTACGATACTTGATTTGTGGTTATTTACTCACTCCACCTCGATAATTGCTGTCTTTCGAATTTGTTTTGTTGGAAAAATGTTGGCGATGTGTTCAATACTTTGTACATTATATGTCAATTTCTTTTTTTAAAAACGATCTGTTTTTTAGTACATTCATGTACAATGTTTGTAACTCAAAATATTTGGTGATTTATTAAGAATGGCATTTTGGTTGCCAGTTCTTAATTTTGATCTCAAAATATGCAGACCAATGGTACCCAAGAATATGCTTGGGTTTTGAGAAAAATGGCATGTATTTATTTTAGGGCATTATTACATATATAACATGTTTCCATAAAAATTGAATGAGACATATATAAACATGATGTATTTGGCAGACAACAATCTGACGTGGTGTCGTTGTGGAAGTGTTCCATGTCAAACATTCCTTTAGAAAAACTTACGGAATTTAATTGAGTGACTAACATATTGAAACAAATAAACTTCGGCCACTAACATCAAATTTCATTGTAGGTTGAGTACCTACCAGTGTTTTTACCCTGATTTTAGATGTCAAAATTTCTTTCACATTCCTTGTTTACAATTTAATCTAAATACCTAAAATCAGTCACTCTTTAGGATAGCATTATCCTTAAGTATAATTTTATTATCATCTTTATTCCTAGGATGACCGATGTCTAAAAAGAATTATACATACCCCATATTATTTTACTTGACCCAAACCCTTTAAGATCTAAATTACATGGCCAAAATTGTAGTTTAAAATTTATTCCTCTTCCAAGCCAAGGGACCTCATCTTGGATTTGTCCTAGAAAGTCATTAATGAATACAGAAAAATGATAAGGACTCAGAGTTGAACCTTGATGCAGGAATATGACTATAAAAATTCTCTATTAGCATCCCCATTAAATCTACCCTGTTGAATCCTACATTGCTCATATATGATATCTTAAATAATTGATATATCTAGCATATTTCTCTTTCCCTCTTAACACTCACGAGAGGCAGCCCTATCATATGTTCTTATATAAATAAATAGAAGCGTGAGTGATTTTTGTTTTTTCTTTATATATTCCATTGTGAAGTGGGTTAACGACTTCTATCGTATACTTTCCTAACACAAAAGTCAAACTGGTTTTGCGATTCCTTTGAATTACAACTTATTCTAAGCTCGATCATACTCTACCATAATGTCATTATGTGACTTAAGAACTTAGTACCTCTATAGTTAGTGGAATTTTGAATATCTCCTTTATTCTTACTATGCAATATAAGAATCTTCCTGCATAGTGAGAATCTTCCTCCAATGATCAACCATGTTGTACTCTTTAAGGTATTATTGGATAATTCTGTTAACTCTAAGATAACCAACTCTCCCTGATATTTCCCGAGGTAGAACATTAAGAAACCCCAAAAAGAGAGAAGAAGGTTTCATCTTTTTTCTTGAAGGGTGGAATTAGATTCTTTGTGTTCAACAAACTTTGTAGTTATACAAATAATGACAATGTGGAAGTAAAGAGCATATTATGGAAGGAGTCTATTTCTATGAATGCAAATTATTTTAACCAATTTTATGTTTTGTTTCACTAATGCACCAAGTCACCAATTAGGAATAAAAAATTGACATCAATAATTATGTAGTGATTCTAAAGAAAATATTGGAAGGGGTAAGGAAGAAAATATGCAAAATAAAGGGAAGGAAATAATCATTAGAGAGAAAATAATAGTTAATAAAGAACAATAGAAGGATGTAAATACTTTTAATGATTTTGATCTCTCTTTTCATTTTGTTCCTGCCAGTTTCGATTTAAGAGAAAGGAAACAAAATTAAGAGAAGAAGCCAAGAATCCTAGCAATTTCTTCTCTTTGAAAACTACCCAACTAAATGAAAAACACAAGGTAAGGCAAAATGGGGAAAATTTTCTCCACTAATTGTAAAAGTTCGAAAAATGTGAACAATACATGACAGAATTTTTTTTTTCTGATCCTGTAGTCAGTACCATGAAAAGTATTTATTTTTTTTGTTGCTGATGAACAATGACATGAAATGTGACTTTCTTTGAGAAGGGTTAGGTCAAGCGCGAGAATAAGCTCTGATACCCACCAATGTAGAACAATAAAGAGGAGAAAGAAAAAGATTGAAAAAAGAGGAAGAATTTGGAATCAGGGACAGTGAATGTTCAGGTTTTTGATAAGGCTCTTTTCATCAATGTCTGGTCTTATCATTCTCTCTATCTATCCATAGGTACTTAGTCGCAGCCTCCCTTAAAGCCCTCTGTTCGCCCCCTCTTCTTGATAGAAACGGAACGCTAAAGTGCTTGCTTGGTTCGATTAAGTCATGAGTGACTAAAGAAGAATCTTTTTGTATAGGTGTATATAATTTCTCTAGTTCAAAAAATGGAGATTTTGTGCATGTATATAAGGCTTGAAAAAACCAAAATATTGCTTCATAAATGAGGCGGCAAGGAGCTTGAACTGGGTAGAATATGGCTTCTCAACAGGGTCCAATTTATCAAGACACCGGAGGGCTGAGACTATTCTATAAGTAATATCAATAAAATTGTAGAAGTCTTGATTGGAGCAGCTAGAAAAACTACCTCATTCTGAATTTCCATATTTTTCTTGTTTGCCAACCAATGCTTGTAGCCTACAAGCCTTTGTTTAAGCTTTGAGGTGAAAATACCTGAGGGTGCCTATTTCCCAATTGGAGAACCATGGGCTGAAGGCAAATTGGAACTAGGCAGTGGAAAGGGAATGGAAAATTATTTTTTTTTTGAGAGAAATTTCGATGTCAATGAATGTCTGCACAATTCAATAATGTTAGTCCTATTTATTCTGAATCCCTGACAAAAATGGAAAATTACCAAAATGACAAATTGAAAAAATTCCTTAACTGGGGGATTTACAAGAAACTAAGTGTGTGTATGAGCCCCATTTTTTTTGTAAATTTTGTAATAGTTATTTTTTGGAGATACGTGGTTAAAAAGTGGTAAAAGTTTTAGGTTTATGTGCAAAATTATTTTACGCAAACAAATAAAATTTCTTATTGTTGGATAAAAAGTGAAAAAAATGCATCCTTCTTAATATTTACACAAGCAAATAAAATTTATTTCATATTTTTCCTATTAACTGCTATACAAGTACTTTATGTAAATATTCTGAGTTTTGCTATACTTGTGGTTGCAGGTACACATCCATGGCAGATATACTTGATCTTTCATCTCTGATGTCCATTGCACCTGTCAGGTTTATAGATTTCAGAGTTTTTGTATCCATGTGGTGTGAGGTGAATATCAACTTGATTTGCTCTGAGGACTTGAGTAAGCATTCTTCTTTAATTGAAAGCCTAAGACAATGTGGGTCGTTACTCTCCGGGTTGAATGGAAATGTAAAGAATTGTTTATACGCTTCAGAGGAAGATTGTAGAATGACAGTGTGGACATACCAAAAAGACGGTGAAGATGGGATTTTGGATTCATTTCAACCTGATGATGAACTCAAGAAGAAGAAGAGAATTACATTTGTGAGGAAAAGGAGAGATGTCCAGAAAACCTTTGGCCCTGGCTCCGAAGCTGGATCAGCCAGTGTTTTGGCATTTGGGAGCCTTTTTACTGCTCCTTACAAGGGCTCAGAGTCGCATATTGACATCCATGAATCTCCGAGGGACCGAAGGATACAGTCCTTGATTCAGAAAATTGAATTTCTTCCTTTTGTTCCAGAAATAATAAATTCTGGGAAGAAGTTTGCTCTCCAGACAATTAAGGCTCCTTTTCTTTGTGCACAGCTTAGATTATTGGACGGTCAATTCAAGAACCACTGGAGAGCTACTTTTCAGGCATTGAAAGAAAAACTGGACCTTTTAAAAGAGAAGGGTCCTCTCCCAATTCATGTATTTGTGATGACTGACCTTCCCAGGATCAATTGGACTGGAAGCTACTTGGGGGATCTGGCAAAAGATTCAGATGCTTTTAAACTATTTATCCTTGGGGCAGAAGATAAGATAGTAACAGATACTGCTGAGAAACTTGTGAGCACGGGACAGAATGCAAAATTTGAGTCTCTTGTCAATAAGCTTGACGGGAGAGAGAAGCATTGTAATCCTCAATCGTTGCCCGATATACTTCTATTTATGGAAGAAACTGTTTGCAGCTGTGCTCGTCTAGGTTTTGTTGGGACTGCTGGCTCAACCATAGCTGAAAGCATAGAATCGATGAGGAAAAATAGCATATGTTTGCCATGAAATTTCGAAAGATTCTTGTGCAACTATTTTTGTCTGCTGATATGGACTTCATTGTTTCACCTCCAAGAATGGAATCATGGTTGCAGTGCACTTTGCATCATTCATACTTGCCAAGTCAGAAGTAAATTTAAGTGCAAGTCAAAAATCTCAGTATCAGAATTTTGTTGTTATGTTTTGTATATAACATAGCGGGGTTAGAGCATTTCCAAGAAACTTTTAAATGTGGGATGCCTTTTATTTTAAGTAGTTAAATTTTAAAATTAAGCTTTAGGAAATTCCTTTTATTTAACTTTTAAAATAGTGACTCATTCCCTATTTGTATTTTTCAAGATTGTACTCAATAAAATGACAGGTTCCGATGCTCAATTAATTTATATCATTTATATTTATATTGTATATTTTACCTATTAACATTTAAAAATATATATATTAATTGAAAAAGGTGGGAAAAACAATGAATGCTGGGAAAAGTAGTTTATTTGTTGGAGTTTATAAATAAAAAATTCAAATTAAATTTAAAGATAATCCTTATTATCTAAACAAATTAATAAATAGGTATTTCGGGACAATACTCGATCTAAATATATAAATATTGATTTGATGAATTCACTCGGGGATGACAAATGGATCGAATAATTCATTGGCTCGTGGGTTCAACTCGATTCGACTAATGGACGGTTCAAACATGTTTTAAGATGAGACATATATCGAGTTGAGCTCGCCTTTCGACTTTAAAAAGTAAAGAATCAGTTCATTTTTTTATTTTTATTTTTTAAAAATTGAATCGGCTCGTGAACTCATGAGCTATTCAACTCGACCCATAAAACTCACGAGCCAAATAATGGAGCCTAGCTCGGGTGTCCAAGAACCATTGCCAACCCTAAATTCATGTTTCATTGGAATATTTAGGGTTTATTTTCTGAAGGAAAAAAAAAAAAGAAGAAGAAGAAGAAAAAAAGTAAATCTTCCCTCCACCAAACGGTGCCTTGCTCATAGAAGAAGCAATATCATTTGATGCTTAGGAATTTTTACCAGAAAAGAGGGAAAATCGACAAGTGTAGTAGAAGGGAATTCGCTTGAAATTAATCTCAATGGCTTGCTTGCACGATCACAGCTGCGAAGAACACGATTGCTCCTCCGATTGGTCGCTTTACAAGCATATAGATCTCTCCAAGGTTAACTCTCTCTCTACACATAAATTTAATTATATATAATTCACGTGTTTCAGTATTTTCTCTTTGGGTAGTTTTATATATGTATTTCCGGCTCTATAAATCTTCGGTTTTTTTTTTTTTTTTTGTGAATAAGTTCGTCTACATCTATGGCCTATGGGCTTTGATCTGTTTACCAATAAATGACATATTTCTTGCTGTTTGACTGCGAATTTTGGCTGTGCATTAGTTGTACTTTGTATTTCAATATAACTCAGTGATCAAGAATTTATGCTACGAGAAGTGGAAGATGCTAGGATTTTTTCGTTGGGTTTTACACTTCAATGCAGCTAGAAGTTCAGCTACTACTAAAATTTTCAATTTCTTAACAGTTGTAAGTTTTTTTTTTTTTTTTGAATGAAGTGTTCAGTTACTCTAAAAATATACTAGATTTGAAGCATCTTGACCTCAAATTTATCAGAAATTTAAAGAACTAGAACTATGAGATCATGTGAAAAAAATCAAACGCTTTCATTATCCAGTTACATGTCTGGATATCTAGGTAACAATATGGTGCAGTGTTGTTCTCAATGATTTGTTATAGGCTAGTATGTGTCAGCTGGAGTATTCGAATATTTGATGTATCCACTTTCAGTAATCTCTCTTTTTCTTTTCCACTTACTGAAATGTATATAACAACTTTGCACTGCGTACATGAATAAACTTACACCTGTAAACACGCCCTACTTTGAATGAATTATATGGGTGCCTTTAAAGTGTATGCCTTCTCCTACGATGACATGCTAGTTATGTGGGCCTCTACTATAACCATTTTGTTTAGAGGGTTGTTTAACTTTACCTTGCATAAGTCATTTCATATATTTCACTTGGGTAAATTATGAAAGAAAGATTTTGTTCTGCCAAAGGTATCTGCATTAAACGAGGCTGTTCCAGGAAGTGTGAAGTCAGTATTCAGAGCCTGGGAGCAGCGTCTGAATTCTTCCGAGGTATTTGAAGACAAAAGTTTTTGGGTTGATACCCTATCCTCCCTGAATTTTGCGTCTGTCATCAATATCGCAATCTGTGTTCCACTGTACTAGTTTGCGTTTTATATTTATGGTTTACAAGTTTCTAATTATTCCTCTCAAAATTAGACATGTGAGCCTTGAAATTCAAATTATTATGGTAGTTTAGCCCTTTTCTCATCACACAATGCCTTGGTTGCATTTGAATTCTTTTATTTTTGTTCTTGTATAATGATGAATGAAATGTTCATCTCTGGCTTCTATGTGAATGCAATCCAACACTAGATGAAATATTCTGGAACTGTTCAAGTGTTTCTGCCCTGCAATTGCATGTGTATCCATGTGAGAACAAAGAAAGAAAACGTAGTTGTCATTGCTCTTGCAAATATTTGCAGTTGAGTTAACTTTAGCTGTGTAGATACTTTTTCCGCTATCACAATTTTTTTTTCTAGACTTCTTGAAATTATCGAGACACGTGTAACTGGTTGTGTAAATTGTTCAAACGGAATTTAGAATGTGAGTTAATTCTACCCTTTATTTTATTTATTTGCAACAGGGTCACTTGGAAAGCAATGAAGGTGATCCCGAGTTGATCGTTTTTATCCCGTATGTATCAGTTTTGTTCATTTAGACCTACCTTCTCTTATTACATTGTTCAGGGTAATTTTACAAGTTAACGTGTTTTCTGGAAGCTTGACCCACCATCAACCTTTCTTTGAATTGCTCCTTACTTTCATAAATCTAAGATTTTAGTTCAGAAATAAATTTTTTTGTGTGAGTAAATGGTATTTAAAATCTGAAAACCTTTGGTATGTGAGCTACATTATATATTTTGCTTCATATAGGTCTAAGTTTGTTCTTTTTTCCCTTTTTTTTATCTAAGAGATGTTACAATTTTTTTTTTATGTAGGGTGTGTTTGATGGATATTATTGAGAAAAGAATTTATTTTAAATAGTGATATGATGGGAAATACATGATTAAAAAGTAAGGAAAAATTATTGATGTGATGAAAAATATTATTTTATTAAATAATGTGTGATTGAAAATGAGTTTTGAAAAAATATATTTTGAAAGAATGTGTATCAAATATGGACTTAATGTCACTGTCAACTTCCACCCCACTGACATCAAGCCACCCGTGGCCAAACACCACCTCCACAAAGTTCGGTGGCAATTGATTTAAGTAACCCAATGTCACGTGGCGGGTTACGTCATCGAAATAATTGAATATTATTAAAATTTGGGTGTAACTTGAATTTTTTGTTGAAAATAATTGAGAGTTCTAATTAAAGTGCACATTAATTGAAATCCTATTTGAAATGCAATTGTAAAACTCTATTCAAGTTTATTTGACAAATTCTAATTGAAGTTCTATTTAGAAGCTTATTTGGAGTAAGAATTTGTGTTGGATTTGAAGAAAACTTTGGAATAAAGTAAAACATCATTGGAAGGAGTTTGGGTCCGAGATGAGGCGCATAGGCG